GGGACAATCCTCCTCTGTGTCCCTGTGGGTGAGCGCAGGGGGCTTGTGGCGGGGAGGGGGAACCAGGGGGGGGTCTCCAATGCAGAATATGAGACAAATTTCCTGCCCTGCCACTGCATCCCTCAGGGCCCCTTGTGCCTGTCACACAGCTGCCACAGTCCTCAGTTTGCCCAGCTGTGCAATGGGTTGAGTTGCCCTGCACTAGCCCAGGGTTCCCTGTGGGGGAGGCAGTAGGGGTTCTGGCCTGATTATGCCTCCTCATGCAATTATCTTTTTGCTCCTCACCCCTGCTGCGTGCCACTGGGGAGGCATCACTGTCCTACCAGTGCTGACCAAGTAGGAGTGGGGGGGGAGCTGCAAATGAATGTGTGCAAATGAGCTACCACACTAATTTGCATAAGTCAGGCTGGCTAGCAGACAGCTGGCTCCTCAGGGGCTAGGCACAGCTGGAGGAGGGGTTGGAGTCACTGAGGGTGGATCTGAGGACCTGGCTGCATGGGCATCACCTCCTTTTGCTGAACTGGACCCCAGCCCAGACTCAACATCTGGAAACTGGGGTAAGGAGTGGGGGCAGCATGGCTAAATGGACAGAGCCCAGAGGGGAGTCAGGACACCTGGGTCTTATCCCTCCCTGCTGGCAGCCTCAGTTTCCCCAGGACAGCAGAGGCTGGTCTCTGATTCCATGAACCCTTCAGCGCAGTGAGATCCTGAGCTGTGGGTGGGGGAGCCAGGCCTGGCCTAGGAGCTGTTGGGATAAGAAGGTCTAGCCTAGGTCCAGCTCTGGCTCTGGCAGCTCTTGGACCAGGCCTGGGCTCCCTTCCCCATCCCCTAGCTCAGAGTCCCGCTGTGCTGGGGAGTCCTGGAGCCAGAGACCAGCCCTTGTTCTCATTGGGAAACTAAAGCACCCAACAAGGAGGGGCGGGATCCAGGTAAGCTGACTCCCTTCTGGCATCTGCCCATGGGGCCATGCTCAGCAGTGGGATGGGAGAAAATATTATTTGGGGGGCTGCGAGTAGAGGGGGTGGTGCTGGGCCGCCCCTCTCTTCCACAGGGTCGTTGTGGAGCTGGTGCATGGTGGGAGCACTGGGCATGGTGCTGCAATGACAGGACATGGCAGTGGTGCTGGAGCAGTGCAGCTGTGCTTGTGGGGACTAAGCCCTGTTAGCCCCAGCCTTCCTCTGCCTATGGCCTTGCTGCATTCTGCTACTGGCCCCAGTTTCCAGCTAATGAGTGCGGGCCTAGCTTCAGCTTTGGCCAAAGTGGGAGCTCCCCAGGTCAGCCTGTCCCTCTGGCCTGTGCTGGCAGCTGCAGCCACAGTCTCGTGAGTTCTCAGCCAGCGAAAGAGGAGCCCAGCTAGGGGTGGTGGAACCCATGGCAGGAAAGGAAGCTGTGGTAGCAAAGACAAACAAAAGCCCCAGGCGGCCTGGCCCATCCTTTCCTTCCCAGCTCCCGGCAGCCTGGGACAGGGCCATGGAATAGTGACCGGGCCCTGCCAACAGCGTGGGAACCCAGGGCTGGAAGTGCCTAGTGGTATGTGGGCAGGAGCTGGCAGGGAAGGGGATGGAGGGAAAAAGACCCAGAGATGGGGTGGGGGAAAGGGGGAGCCCCTTCCTTCCTTCTGCATGCAGCCTCTCACCTCTGCCTCTTCTCACAGGTCGCCACCTGTCTGGTCCCTGCCCTGCCCTGCCCCGCTGTCTGCATGGGCACCGTGGGGCTGGGCCAGGCATGGGCAGCCCCTACACAGCCTACTGGGACCCACTGATAGTGCAGCAGCACTACAACTACACGCGGGGGACGGGCGAGCGGCGTCGCTCGCCGCTCTCAGACCCTGTGTCAGTGCTCATCGTGATCGTGTGCAGCCTGGTGGTGGTGGAGAACCTGCTAGTGCTGGCGGCTGTGTGGCGCAACCAGAAGCTGCACTCAGCCATGTACGTCTTCCTGGGTAACTTGGCCGCCTCGGACCTGCTGGCAGGCGTCGCCTTCTTGGCCAACACGCTGCTGTCGGGGAAGCACACCCTGGCACTAACACCAGTCGCCTGGTTCATACGTGAGGGCTCGGCCTTCGCAGCGTTGGCCGCCTCTGTCTTCAGCCTGTTGGCCATTGCCATCGAGCGGCATGTGGCCCTGGCACAGGTACGGAGAAGGGCAGCAAGGATGTGGAGCGGTTTAGAGGGACTTCCCGATGAGGAGAGACTGCCGAACCCAGGCCTGCCCAGTCTAGATAAGAGGGGAGCATGAGAAGGGTTTACGAAAAAGTGAATGAGGAAGAGAAAGTGCCTAGGGATTTATTATTGCCTGTCTCTCACTGGACAAGAACGAGAGTTCACAGCATGAAACAAGCAGGTCATAAGCTTAAAACTGGCATCTATTTTCCGCAGCGCAGCATTAAAGGGTGGGACTTTTGGCCACTGGAGGCGGTGGAAGCGGAGAGTTCAGCCAGACTCACAAGGGATTGGACAAGTTTTTGGAGCAAAGGGGCATCAGTAGTTGTGAGCACAGAGTGAGGGGCATGGCCTCTGGATCAGATCTTCCTAGACCTTAAATGCTGGAGGCTACAAGGGAGAGAGAACCAAGTGGAAAAGTCCTGCTCAGACTCAGTTAACTCTCCCTTCCAGCCTCTGCTCTCTACCGCCGTGTAATACAGGAGACTGGGCAAGGAGGACCTGTGGTTTGATGCAGTATGTGGCAGCTCTTATGTTTTTGTATGTTGTTATGTTGTAGGTGAAGCCCTACCGTCGTGGTGGGGGTGGCCGCATGGTCCTGCTCATCAGCGCCTGCTGGGTCGTGGCGCTGGCCGTGGCCGGGCTGCCAGCACTGGGCTGGAACTGCTTGGGGCGGCTGGGGGCCTGCTCCATTGTGCTGCCGCTGTATGCCAAGGACTATGTGGTGTTCGTGGTCAGCGTCTTCACGGTCATCCTGGGCACCATCGTAGCGATCTATGCTCACATCTATTGCGTGGCCCGGTCCAGCCATGCTGAGCGGGCCGGTGCCCAGAGCCTGGTGCTACTCAAGACAGTCACCATCGTGCTGGGCGCCTTCATCGTCTGCTGGCTGCCTGCCTTTGTAGTGCTGCTCCTGGATGCTGCCTGTGGGCGCCTCGCCTGCCCCGTGCTGGCCCAGGCCAGCTATTTCTTTGCCTTTGCCACCCTCAACTCAGCTGTGAACCCTCTTATCTACACACTGCGCAGCCGTGACATGCGCCGTGAGATCCTGCGCCTGCTGTGCTGCTGGGGGATGCTGGGCCGCGGCTGCCGTGCCCAGCACTGCCGCCGGCCACTGCGTAGCTCCAGCTCCCCTGAGCCCTGCACCCACAAGCATGACCTGCCCACAGTGCCCATCATGACAGCAGCCTGTGCCACCTCTGTCTGAGCCCCTACCATGGGCAATGAGGTAGCTGGGCATCTGGATCTGGACAGGGCTGAGCCCCTGCTCCCCAGCTGCAGTCTGGGCACACCACAGCCTCTGTCTGTCTGTCTGTCTGCCTGTCCAGCCAGTCTGGGGCCATAGCACAAGGGGTATGGCCATCCTTATTCACCACAGAGCCCCCAGGGCAGAGCAAACATCTGGTTTGGGAGAGGACCCCCCCTCCCCCCAGCACGGTCTCCACTCCCCAGGCAGGACTGTCTGCCTTGGCTTGATCGGCACTCCTAGGCCCTGCCTGGGCCTGCTGCAGCCTCAGTCCATCCATACAGCAGCAGGTGCCCCTGTCCCTAGTCTCAGGACCCTGCTGGAGTTGCGAGGGTGGCAGTGGGGCATAGACTGTCCATGTATCTGTCTGCTACTGCCTCCCTGGCTCTCCTGGCAGCCTCTGAGCCATGGGGGAGCAGCACGAGCGTGTGTGTGTGTGTGTGTGTGTGTGTGTGTGTGTGTGTGTGTGTGTGTGTGTGTGTGTGTGTGTGTGTGTGTGTGTCCCATGCCTGCCCTGAGGCTGGTGCCTCCCTCCAGAGCTGACAGACCGGTCTGGGAAAGCTGTGCCTCTACTGGTGATGCCTTGCCCTTGCAGTGCAGGGAGCGGGTCCCAAGCCCTGGCTGTTGGGGGCTATGCTGACTGCAGCAGAGGGATCCCTGAGGGGACGGGGACTGGGCCTGGTGGGGGAGAAGCAGGGCAGGCTGCCGGAGCCTGTCCCCCATCAGGCGGCAGCTGCTAGGGTGAATCACTGGCTGACAAGCCTGGGCGGGGGCAGCCACGCTGTGAATGGGAATGAGCTGCAAGCATGGGAACGGGTTTGGCCCAGCCCGTGGAGTGGACTGGGGTTAAGTCAGCTGCCCCCAGAAGGTGGTACATGCCACAGCCTGGCACGCCCTGTGTCCCCATGTCCCTGCCAGCCACATGCACTGGCCTGGACCCTGTGAGCCAGGTCACAGGAAGCTCCCAGGAGCTATGGGGTCACGTGTACGGGCAGGGAGCACATGGGGGGGGTGCACATTGTGGGAGCACTGCATATTGTATGTGCATATAGTGTATGTACATGTCCCAGTGCTGCATGTGGAGTGTGTGTGCATGGTGTGTGTGCATGTTCCAGTGCATGTTGGGTGCATGTACATGCCCCCAGTGTGTGTGAGGTGCATATAAGATGTGTGTCCATGATGTGTGTGCGCCCCCCAGTGTGTTTGGGTGGATGTGTGCATAGCACATGCACATGCCCCCAGTACATGGGAAGTATGGGAGGGAGCTGCATGTACCTTGTCCTTTTGCTAGCTCCTTGTCTCTTCCTGGCCCCTTGCCTTGGCTGCCCTCAGCCTCCCCTAGTCCTGGGGGCCCATCTCGTTCACCGGGTGTTGGCTGTGGCTTCTCCTGGCACCTAGTGGCCCCTAATCCTGCTGCTGCCAGTCCTAGGGGAATCTGGCTGACCTCAGTTCTGCAGCCAGGTACCCAGGTTTGGGAGGGCAGGGTTGGCTCTGCAGTATGGTACAGTCAGCGCGGGAGGAACCAGGGGATCCTTGCGGTTGCCCCCACTCCCAATCCTGAGGAAACACTATGGAGCCACAACCCTGCCCCCTCACTACCCATGTACGAGCGGCCACCACTGACTATTAAAACAAAGTTTCCGCCACTGCTCGCGTCAGCTTCTTTCCTGCCCCTCCTCCCCACACAGGGTCCCCCATGGCCCCTGCTGCCTGGTCACAGGCCTGTGGGACTGCACCCTGCCTGTTGGAGCTGCCTCAGTGCTGTTCTCGCTTACGCAGCCTGCCTGGGACCATGGCTGGGTTTACTCAGGCACTTGCTTTGCCCTTCCAGGCGGGGATGGGGGATTTTGGTCCCGGCCGGGGCACGTGGATAAGGGTGTGGCAGTGGGGAACTGGGGTGCTGCCTGGGGGGCAGGGAGGGGGTGTGGGGCAGGCAGGGAGGCTGTACCAAGCCTTGGCCCAGGCTTCCCTCGCTGTGAGAGGCTGACGTGGCAGCCGATTCTCCACTTCCCCTCCTGTTCTGACTTGTCCAGACAGCAGTTGCCTTGGAAACTGAGGTTTTTTCCCCCAAAACATCCTCCCCCACGCATGCATGCACATGCACTGGGCCTGGGCCAGGGAGTTCAGGGCTGTTGCCAGGTGAACGCTGAGTGATGGGTAGCCCTGTTGGGACCAGAGGGAACTACTGGGGGGCTGCAGGTTGGGAATGAGGGGCACTGACAGGACTGGGGGAGTGGGCTAGGGCTCTGGGTCGGGACTGAGGGGCACCAGCAGGGCTGAGGGCTGTGCTTCGGGGGAGGGGGGGGCTGAGCTGCCCACCTCTACATGTTCCCTGCATCTCCAGATCCAGACAGAGCAGCTGGGAGTCCTCCAGGCTGGGCCGCGGGGGCCAATGAGGGGAGGCGTTGACTGGGCCCGGGCAGCTTGTCCCGTCCTGGGCTGCTGTTTTCGGTGTTCTTGGAACTGGACGTGTTGGACATGGGGGGAGGGTGTTCAGAGCTCAGGGGGCTCATGGGGCCTGGCCAGGTCCTGGCAAAGGCTCCAGCAACTCCCCGGCAGCCACAGACTAGAGGGAGGGTGTTGGGGGACCCATGGTCTCCCCCACCCCGTGCCACCAACTGCAGCTGCTGGCCCTGGACGTGAGCCCTGCTGGCCCCCTCCTCCCTCCAGAGCCAGCTGCAGCCCGTGGGGTCTGGGAGCAGCCTGGGAATGTTTGGTCTTCGGGGCCTGGGTTTTGCTTGCTCCCAGCTGCTGACGGAATAAACACAGCCGGGCCAGCTTCCACCACAGAAAGAAGGCCCCCCCCTACACACACACACACACACACACACACACACACACACACACAGGGACCTAGTGCTGAAAGTGGCCTAGGCCGGGGGCTGCAGGACCCCCCGCTCCTCCCAGGGGGGTATTAATAGATGGGGAGGGGAGGTTGCAAGACCCGGAGCCAGAAGCAGAAATCCCAAAATAGCCTGAGAATGGTGCTGCAGGGCCCAGCGCTGCCCAGGATCAGGGCACCTTGTGCTGGGACCTGCAGACACAGAGTAAGAGCAAGCTCAGCCCAAGGAGCTCCTGGCCTGAGCCAATATGTGTGTCCTTGCATGTGCGAGTGCATATGTGTGAGTGTATGTGTGTGTGTGTCTGTGTGGTGGGAGGGGAGCAGAGATAGCCCCAGGGCTTCCCCCTGCAGGCTGAGGTGGGTGTGGGGAGGGAAGCAGGGGGACCCCACAGGAGCACAGGGCAGATGCTCGGGGCTGCGGCTGCTGGCAGGAGGCTCAGGTCTTGGTTGGCAGGGTGGGAATGATGCGTGGCAGGCTCCTGCAGCCTCTCCTGCCCCCCTAGCCCTGCCTGGCTGGGTGCGGGTTGTGTTAGTTCAGCCATGGGTCAGACAAACCAGTCTGGGAACCTAAGGTGCCCCCAGGGAGGGGGAAAATGAAGCCCATGTCTGTTCAGCCGGAGTCAGGGGTGTCAGGGTTCCCTCTGAATCCCCCGTGGGAACAGCAGTCCCAGGGTCTTGGGGCACACGCTCCCTGATCTTGGCCTGGGCACAGTCGGGGCCTTTGGAGCCCTCTGCACAGTGAGTACACGCACATGCATGTCCACACATGCTCCTGCCCAAACACATGCATGCACTGGGGCTGCTTCTCTCCCGCCCTCCCTGACTCACACCGCTCTCCCCCTCCAAGCTTTCCACCAGCCAGCAGCCCCAGGGTTTCAGCAAGAGTTAAAATCAGTGCTGCAGGCTGCGTGGGGGGACATGGCCTGACCTCATCCGCCTGAGTCATCCTGAGGAGGAGGAGGGGGTTGGGGGGGCTGG